TTGAGTAATTTATTAAATTAGGGACCAAAGATAAAAAAAATGACAAACTATATATATAACCATTTAAATTAAAAAAAAAAAACACACACACACACACAGTTATTGCAGTTTTCAATGTACCAGAATATTATTGAAATGAAACTTACAATTAATCAAATAAACAATTTAAATTCTCTTTAAATTGGGAGGCATGAATGCTACCCTTTTTTTACCTTTCATTTTCAAATTTACAGGCATGGAATGTAACTTAAACTCTTTTAAAATGCTATTAATTTTCTTCAATTTATGGCTGCCAACGTTTTGCTTTTGAAAGGACAATTGGATTTTAATTTTCATTTTCCCTAAATAATTTATATCCACTTCTACTATAGTTTACACACATAAAAATACATACACTTTGAACGAGTAAGAAAATTTTCCAAAGTAAGTGAAAGAAAAGACAAGCAGATTTTTTTAAGCATTGTTTGGATTCAAGAGGCCATATTTACATTCAACTTCATCGATTCAAAAGTGTCAAACTAAGGTAGGTAGAAGTGCAAGTGTTATTTCGTTTTTTAATTATGATTTTTTGTTAAAAGTTTGAATGAAATGGTATCTTCGGGAAAGTGCTTTGGTACCACTATAGTTTGAATGATCATTTTTTGACTCTATGTGTTATGATAATGCTATAGAAATTGGATTTTGCTAGAAATCCTTCTACCTGAGATGATATGAATCTACAGTTCGAATTATCTAATTTGATAACGAAATGCACCGATATCTATTGAGTTTCAAACTCATAGGTTAATCCCCTTCCTATAGGTTGATTTGATTTGCTTGGGAGAGTGGATGATGGTAGACAGAGATGCAACATACCATGGAGAAACCGGTGAATTAATGTCTTTAACTCGATTACAAAATGTTTACGTTTTCTTTTAAATAGATTTCTATGGACGTCGTGTGTAAAACTATTCTACGAACATTTCTTTATGAATAAGTTATGTTTAAAAGTAGGTATGAATTCTAGAAATTAACTTTTGAAACACCGTTTACAAAAAGAAAAAGCGTTAGCGATTTAATGTTGTTGTTTCTTAAAAATTTAAACTTCTGCCTTGAGTTTAAAAATTTGTAACTCAATCTTTACTTGGAATTTTTAGACAAAACCAATGACTTTTGATATTTCATAGGTTAGCTACTGTATAAACTTCATGTCAATCCGATGTCGATAGAATTTTATGTCACTTAAAGTAAACTGCACTGAATAATGTTGTTGTTTTCAGCTTCTGCATTTGGTTTCAAAAATTCATAACTCAATCATTACTTGGAATTTTTGGATGAAACGAAGAGGATTTGATAGTCTCATGGATTAGCTATTGAATAAAGTTGAAATCACACTGTTCCGATGTCTGTGGAATGTTTTATGTCATTTTAAGTGAACCGCACTGGTTTACCATTCAACCATATCATGGCGAGGTTTTAAAAAAATATTTTAATAATTCATATGTTGTCGACGGAAGTCAATTTATGGATATATCTTATCACAAAGAGTTTCCTACTTTATTAAAATTTTATGAAGTTTCGGAGTCAATAGCTATGCAAATACATTTATATTTGTACTTGCTATACGAGGAAAAGAAAAGGGAAACAACAAGTTTTAGTTATTTTTAGAGGGGTTTGAAAAATATTTAAACATCTCACATATTACCGACGGGAGCAGATTTTGGGATATGTCATAATAAAAGAATTTTGCTACCTTCCCTTAAAATCTTGTAAATTTTCGAGATTGATAACTATGTAATGCAAGACAACAATATTTGTTTTTATTTCCTCCTTTAATGTTCACGTCAACAATAGATACATGAATGGAAATCATTCTAAAGAACTTTTGAAATCATTTCTTTTAGCATTAAATTGTGTCGTTAAAAAAAAAGATAAAAGTAAATATATAATACTCAAATAAATTCTTAAATTAAATCTTTATGCTTCGCTAAAAGTATAGTTAATTATTAAGTTTATGGTTACAGTACAATTAATCTAGTGATGTTTCGGATCATGCAGGTCGGGACGTAACAAGATCCATGTAGCCAAGAACGATAAGGACGTTCTCTTTCCAGCTCTTAAAAATTAGTTCAAGCATAGGAATTTAATTGATCTTGGCAAATATTGCAGAAGTAGATGGATTAACTAAATAGAAAATCCAAACCTAAATAACATGTTCAAATGAGAATTCGTATTAGACAATCAATAATTTCAAATAATGTGGACCCCATGACAATAGATTGAACACAACATTGATATTTAATCTTTGGACATAAACATCAACTTGTAAGTGATACTCTTAGTGTAGTAATTAAATATTGACAATAAATTCGATTAAACATTAAGTCGTCTTTGGACTAATTAAATGTTCACGTAATGGAAAACTTTCCAATTGTCACATATCACATATTTATTACCATGTGTATGCAAATAATTCGGACAAATATTTACCTTTCTTTGGGCTGTGAATATTTGCACGAATTACGTACATACAATCTTCCTAATATCCCAAATAAATTAATTTAGGCAAGAGAGGTTACTTTGGCAACATATTGCTTCAATTAATCTATTTTAGAAAACTAGTAATTCGAAAGAAACTTTAAATACCAAGAATTGAAATTGATTGCCCCTTCATACTTTTATTTTTTTTCTCTCTTTTGTGGCAAAAAAAATTTCAAAAAATCGGCTTTGCTACAACACCCAATCCGGGTACTGCAGTGCCAAGCCAGCACTGCATTGCTGGGTGGCCACGTCGGTTGCCCTGCTTTACGGCAGTGCCCGGACGAGGTGCTGAGGCGCCGTGGCTGTTGTTTTGAATCAGAATTTCTGAAAAATCCCTAAAATTTTTTTAATTTTTTAATTTTAGGTTTAAAATTCTTATTCTTCATTGGAAACGCCAAATTATAAATTTTAACCCTAAAATTCTAATTTGAAAAATTCTGAATTTTGAAGTTTATGGCTAAAATTCATATTCCAAACTAAAAGATTCCAGAATTCACTTTAAGCCACAAAAGTCATCCTTTAATTCCAATGGTTTAACATGGAGTCAGCTCTGATACCACTTGTTAAATCTTTAAGTGTAATGCCACGACTCATAATGGTCGAAGCGTCACTAGATTAAATGTGCTTTAGCCGTAAACTTAATAATTGACTATACTTTTTGCGAAAAGTAAAAAAAAAATTTATTTAAGAATTTAATTCAAGGTTTTTTTTCTAAAGCAAAATAATTCAATACTAATAGAAACAATTTCAAAAATGTTTTTAGAATGGTTTCTATGCAGGTAACCACTATTGACGTAAAATTTTTGGCAAGACTTTAAAGATAATATTGCTATTTTAGTTTTTATCTCAAACGGTAATTATCAAAATAAATTTGTTTGCACAGCTATCGACCTTGAAACTTTGTGAAATTTTAGTGTAAAGTAGAAAACTCCTCATAATATGACATATCCAAAAATCAGCTTCTGTCGATGGCATATAGGGTATTAAAATATTTTTTCAAAACTCCGCAGTGATTTGAGTTGGAAGGTAACTCAGCGAAGCTTACTTAAGGTGCCATATAAAATTCTACACACATCAAATTACATGATTTCAACTTTATTTAGTAGCTAACCGTAAAGCTATCAATCCAAATTGGTTTTGTCCAAAATTTTTAAGCAATGAGTGAGTTATGAATTTTTGAAACCAATGGCAGAAGCTGAAAAACTGCAACGCTACCCATGTGCAGTTTACATAAAGTGCCATATAAAATTCTACCGACATTGGACTGACATAATTCCAAATTCTACTGACATCGGATTGACATGATTCCATCATATCTTTAATGCATGAACTATCGCCGCAACTTCTAGATCATGCGTTGGGTAGTTCTACTCATGTTGCTTTAATTGCTTTGACGCATAGGCAATCACTTTTACATGTTGCATCAATACACATCCCAAACTTTGTTTGGATGCATCGCTATACATAACAAACCCTTCCGAGCCTTCAGGTATGGTTAACATGGGTGCTACAACCAATCATTGCTTTAGCACTCGAAAGCTTTGCTCACACTTATCTGTCAATTGAAACTTTACTCCTTTCCTAATCAATTGCATCATTGGTCCAGCTATTTTGGAGAATGCTTCTATAGATCTCCGATAGTACCTAGCCAATCATAGAAAACTTCGAACTTTACTAGCGTTAGTCGGTGTCTTCCAATTAGTTACCGCTTCCACCTTTATTGGATGTATTTCAATTCCATGGGTAGTAACTACATGACCGAGGAATCTGTCTCGCTAAAGCCAAAATTCACTCTTTTTAAATTTGGCTTACAACTTTTCCTTGCGCAATATTTCTAGTGCCATTCCAAAATGTTCCTCATGTTGATCTTTACTCTTGAAGTATATCAATGTCTTCCAATTAGTTACCGCTTCCACCTTTATTGGATGTATTTCAATTCCATGGGTAGTAACTACATGACCGAGGAATCTGTCTCGCTAAAGCCAAAATTCACTCTTTTTATGGCTTACAACTTTTCCTTGCGCAATATTTCTAGTGCCATTCCAAAATGTTCCTCATGTTGATCTTTACTCTTGAAGTATATCAAAATATCATCTATGAAAATTATGACAAATTGATCCAAATACTGATGAAATACACGATTCATTAGATCCTTGAACACTGCCGAAGCATTTGTCAACCTGAACGGCATAACTGTAAACTCATAATGTCCATAACGAGTTTTGAAAGCTGTCTTTAGTATATCACTCATCTTAACTTTCAATTGATGATATCTAGTTCGTAAATTGATCATGGAAAATATATTAGCCCCTTTCAATTGATTAAACAAATCCTCGATTCACGGGAGATGATACCTATTAATGATGGTCAAACGATTTAACTCCCGATAGTCGATACACATCCTCATATTTCCATCTTTCTTCTTTGCATCCCATGGGGGTACTTGGTTGAATAAAGCCACTATCTAATAATTCTTGTAGCTAAATTTTTGACTTGTGAAGTTCCTTTGGAGCCATTCTATATGGAGCTTTAGATATTGGTACCGCTCGGGAAACCAGATCTATTGTGAATTCCACTTGTCTATCTGGTGGAATACCAGGTAGATCTTCTAGAAATACATTTATAAATTATTGTATCACTGGTACGTCATCAATATTTATCGTTGCCTATTTTTCTCTTGAGATGTCAACTAGAAACCCTTGAGATGTTTCTTTTCTCAACATTTTCCAGCCTTATAAGGCCGATGCTACTTGGAGATGGGATTTGATCTTTATTCTAGGGATAGATAGTTGTTCTTCTCCTGTTTTCTGAAAAGATACTTCCCTTTCTCTATCATAATTATATATTAACCAATCCATGCCCAAAATCACATCAAAGTCTTTCATCTCTATCAGACACAAATCAGATTCAAATGTTTTTCCCTCAATTTTAAGATTCACCGACCTAGAGAACTGATATGTGTTCAATGTTCTGCCTAAAGGGATGCTAACTTCTAGTGTACTCTTTAACTTATCACAATTAATACTAGATTTATTAATGAAAGATGTTGATACAAAAGAGTGAGTAGCTCCTATATCAAACGGTACATAAGCAAGTGTATTAGATATCACTAGTATACCTGCTATCACATTTGAGTTCTCCTCAGCATCCTTCTGAGTCATTGTAAAAACTCGTGCTTTTTCCTTTTTATTCTGATCACTATTGTCATCTTTCTTCTTAGTAAATATGGGATAATCCTTAGCAACGTGTCCTTGCTTAACACAACGAAAACAATAATTCTTCCGATACAAGCATTCACCACGATAAGATTTACCACACTTAGGGCAAGGCACAATTGCGATAACTATGGCCTTACTGGCACTATATCCGATATTAGCCTTCTTATTTTGCCATTTTCCTTTTCCTTTGTCTTGACAAGTCCATTTTCTCTTTCCAACTTGCTCTTTACCCTGCTGGTTGTACAATTGACAGTGTTGCTCTGCATTTGCCTTCTGATACCAAATGGCGTGAGCTCGTTCCAGCATCTCATGGTATGATGTGACATAAGAATCATGCTTAGGTCTAGGTTTAACCATTGCTTAAACCTTCGAGTCTTTTTAATTTTCGTGTCAACCAAGTGTGGAGCATACCTTGAGATATTAATTGAATTTTCGCTCGTAATCAGTCAGAGACATATTACCCTACCTGAGCTGAATGAATTCGCTATCTTTGAAATCCCTTAAAGACTGAGGAAAATTCTTGTCCGTCACTTTTTCCTTAAATTGTTCCCAAGTTAATGCAAATTGCTCCTCCAGGGTTCTAGTTTCGGACATCGAATCCCACCAGTGACTTGCATCACCTGTTACCATAAACTTTGCACACTGGACCTTTTGGGCATCAGTGCAGTCGATGAATCGAAAAATTCACTCTAACTTATGAAGCGACTCCTTAACTACTAGTGTACTAGATGCTCCATCAAAGGAATGAGGCTTGTGCCTTTGAAATAACTCAACCACCGAGGCATGATGCGGGAGAGTACTAGGAGATGGTGGTGTGGGTAGGGCTAGATTCTGATTCAGCCTGCCAAGGTCTTGAACTGCTTGTAGGAAGTTCCTCATCAATTTGTCCTGTTTGCTCGAGACATTTTCTTTGAAATAAAATACAATATCTCTTATTAGCTTCATTTATCCATTACCAGCTCACTTGAAAAAAAAAGGGAATTATTTCTCAACTTGAACAAATTAATTTGTTTATTTATTAATTTATTTTTTGCAAATGCTAGTACAAGCTTCGTATATGATTGTCAAGGCATGAGGTTTCGTCTACCACAAATCTAGGTAAGCTTGGATATCTATCTCCTATTGACTAATATGATTCATTCTCCCAGAATTTTCCTCTTTCATTTGCCATTTGTTACCCATAACTTTAAGTTCTTTCCCAATACATGTCTTTAGAATAACTAACTTTTTTTTCAAACTACATATATTTTTACATATAAGGTATACATAAAGAAAAATGTAAAATGTAGTGAAACATGAAAAACATAATTATAGAATCGTAACATTTTGCATAAGAAAGATTTTAACTTTACTTAGCTAAATATTCCCGGGTCGTAGGATGAGGTTGATTGATGGATGTGAGATGCCATGGAGTGCCTTAAATATTTCATTTTTCTCATCTTCAAAATTTCTATTTGTATTTAAAATAATATTAGTTTTTAAAAAAAATGTTGAGTCTACAAAAGTGACTAAAATTGTGCTCTGATACTACGCTGTAACGACACGACCCACAAGGATTGAAACGTCACTACATTAAATGTACTTTAGCCGTAAACTGCGGAAAGTATAATGATTTAATTTAAGAATTTAATTCAATTTTTTTCCTACTAAAACAAAGTAATTCAATACTAAAAGAAACAATTTCAAAAATGTTTTTAGAATGGTTTCCATGCAAGTAACCACTATTGACGTGAAATTTTTAGCAAGACTTCTAAAATAATGACGCTGTTTTAGTTTTTATCTCAAACAGTGATTGTTAAAATAAATTTGCTTGTATGGCGCTTGACCTCAAAATTTTGTAAAATTTTAGTGTAAAGTAGAAAACCTCTCATAAGATGACATATCCTAATATCGGCTTCCATTGGCAGCATATAGGGTATTAAAATATTTTTTCAATATCCTTCAGTGATTCGGGTTGGAAGGTAACCCCGCAAAGCTTACTCAAGGTGCCATATAAAATCCTACACATATCAAATCGACATGATTTTAACTTTATTCATTAGCTAACCCGTAAAACTACCAATCCCAATTGGTTTTGTCTAAAAATTTCAGGTAACGAGTGAGTTATGAATTTTTGAAACCAATAGCAGAAGCTTAAAAACAGCAGCGCTACCCATGTAAAGTATATTTAAAGTGACATATAAAATTTTACCGACATCGGATTGACATGATTCCAAATTCATTCAGTAGCTAACCTATGTAGCTACCCAGGGCCATTGCTTTTTCTAAAATTTCCAAGTAATGAGTGAGTTATGAATTTTTAAAGTCAAAACAGAAATTGAAAATTTTAAAGAGACAACAATACATAAATTTGCTAGCACTTCCCCTCCTTTTTTTTTTGTTGGTAAACAGTGATTTGTAAATTAACTTCTATAACACATATCTACTTTTAAACATAACTTATTTTTGAAGAAATATTCTTAGAATAGTTCCACTTATGACATCCATAGAAATTCATTTAAAAAAACAAACGTAAACATTTCAAGATCGAATTTAAACTCTTCACAATGACAACATGTAAGGATAAACCTAGGACCAAAGTTATGTGATTGTTGACTTCCATTCCTAGATTGGTGGATCCTTTACTGTCTAGTAGGCCTCTGTCCTACAATTTTTTTGTTATTTAGGGTTAAGCACATGTTTAGGTTAGTCATGGTAGGGACAAACATGGTCTTGGACGTACCAGCAACATTATGATATTTCTCCTTGTATCCTAGACCTCCCTTATTACCAACAGGTTTGCCCATTCCTAGGACGTTATCTAACTTCATAGAACCACTAGAAAAGACAAGAAGTTGAGACTTGGAAAACTCTAGTTTGCTCAGAAGATTCTTAGCCTAAATTTCTAAAGTTTCATTTTCAATGGTGAGAATAAGTCTTCTCAAGCTCACTTGCCAGATTCTTAACCTAAGTATCTAAAGATTCGTTCATGGATTTCAGCTTACTCTGGGTTGAGGTAGATACCTAAAGGAAAGCTAACAATTTCTCTTTCTTCCACTCGAGTTCATCAATCTTTGTACCTAAGGCTTTATTTATAGTTAGAATCTTAATACTCTCTTCAAAGATTTGATCATAAGCCTAATGAAAATCCCTCTCACTATCAAAATCTTCCTCTGATTCCTCACCATTATCTATGTCCTCAACCATGTCCTCCCCTTATTAGATCCACTCCTAAACCTAACCGTAAAGGCAATATATTTCCTCCATTCTTCACATGTGAATTTCTCATTCTAATTGTCCAAGCTAGACTCCTCATCAGTGAAAGTAGCATTCAAAGCCTTATCCAGATTTCTCCTACTACTATGGCACTCACTCCTAATATGGCCATAATCTCAACAATTATGACATCTTCTAGAATTAGAACTCTTCATAGACTCATTAGGGCCATTTCTATACTTTTGTTGAGGTTTCTTTTTATTTCTAAACATTTTTCAAATATTTTTTAGCAAAGTATGCTAATTCCTCTTCATTAGGAGAATCTGATTCTAAAGACTCTCTACAACTATTCCTCACAGTGTTTAAGGTCAAGGACTTATCGTTTGTAGATTTAGCTAATGTTTGTTAATAAGTTTGGGGAGATCCAACTAGCTCTTCTACCTTAACAAAGTTTATATCTATACTCTCTTCAATAGCCGTAATTTTAGGCCTAAATCGCTCAGTTAATGATCTAAGGATTTTTCTGACTATATTAGGTTCCAAGATTCTTTTACCTAGTTTGAAGCTAGAATTAAATATGTTATTTAGGCTAGCACAGAATTCATCAAAGCTCTCATCCTCTTTCATCCTAACCTGCTGAAACCTAGTGGTCAGCATATGCAATTTAGAGTACTTTACAGCCTGAGTTCCCTCATGTATAGTTGATAAAATCCTAAACCTCTTTAGCTACCTTACACATGGAACACTCACCTAAACTCTTCAAGGGACATAGTTGTAAACAACGCATGCAAAGTTTTGCTGTTCCAAGTTCATTTATCTAGGTTTGTTTTAGTCCAATTCGTAATGAAAGTGGGGATTGCTACATTATCAACCATAGAACTAGGGACAGCCAAGCCATTAACAACAGTCAACCAAATGCGTTCATCCATAGATTTTAAAAGGCTCTTATTCGAACCTTTCAATGGGCATAATTAATGCCATCAAAATATGGCAGGACGTATAACAAACTACTCATCTAGAGAAACTAAGGCCACGAAATGATTTAGGCTCTAATATCACTTGAAAAAAGCTTAATAGAAGGATCTAGATTATCGATTTAATTCGACCTTACAAAATTAAGACAATTAAAAGCAAAAAGTCACTTTTTAATTGTTTCTAAATGGTTAATTAAATAGTCTACTTATCCTAAGTTGAATTGTTGCAGTTTGTAATAAGAATGCAGTAAACAACACTAGATATGTTGACGGAGAAACGCAACTAGATAAAAACTCCGAGACCAAGCTAGTTACGTCCATTATAGACAATATGGATTTATAGTTAGATGTTGCCAAGCCAATTCCACTAGGCTTTTCAATCTACTTCCTATAACCTCCGAGATCCTGCTAAAACCACCAGCTCCCGATCTTTAACAATTGTCTCTTTCAAGTGAATCACCAAGAATGACCAATTCTTGTACTCTTCCTGCACTTATAGTCCGACCTCTCTCAATCTTCAACAGTCTCTAAAGTTTAATTGAGAAAGTACATTTTTAAGTGTGTTTAGGAAGTGGGTGTTTTGGATACAATAGATTTGATGTTTTCCCCTAATATGGTAGTCTAAATTAAAGAATGAATCGAATGATCTCACCAATAGATTGTATTATTGAATCTTCTAGGAATAATGTGGAGAGACAACACAATGAACAATCATAGAAATTTCATGCAAGGTATTAGATATTTTTAGTTGAAGGCAATTGGGTAGTTTGTGCCGTTTAAAATTCTACAAAAATGCGAAGTAGGGTTTTACGCATAACACTATTGTTCCCAAAAAAAGAGCTAGTGACAGGCGAGCGATGGTCTATCGCTCAGCGAGAGATGGGTGATGGGGTTTCTATTTCTGTCGCTCAAGCAATGTCCAGGATATAGGCTAGCAAAATTGCGTTGTCACTTCTTTCTTTATTCCGAACTCAATTCTTAACTTACTTATCTCAAGTCTACAATATTGCAACTAACTTCTTGACTTTTTACAACGTATTTATTTCAGTCCTTTTATTCACAGAATTGCCAATTACATAAAATCTAACACTCTCTTTGCCAAATAACCAAGAAAATGAATAGTGCAAACCACACCTTAATTCTTTGGAAATGATTCTTTTTCACTGGATCTTGATTCTGAATCTTGAG